GCCCTTAGGAAAAATGGTTTGTTTTTTTTTTTTTTTTTTCAAAAAAAAGCTTGTTTCCTTAAAGAGAGAGAGGGAGGGAGGGAGGGAGAGAGAGAGAGAGAGAGAGAAGAAAGAGAGGAAGATGAGAGAAAGACAGGACCCTTGACAGTATCTTCATGCTGTAATCACTCCTCAGCCTCCTGACCAGTCAGGATCATGGGTGTACCCAGCATGTTGAAACAGACCCAAAATATGAACACAGATCTTTTCCACGTGGTTCAGCATCACACAGCACCCAAACTACTGCCTGGGCCACCACAGTGGACCACCTCTTATCGTATGGTTCTAGAACTTAGATTGGTTTTTCCATTTTTAAATGGTTAAAATAAAACAACCAACAAAACAGAAGTATATGATACTTAATCTTGTAGTAAATTTGAACATTGGTGTCCTTAATAAAGTTTTATTAGAACACAGCCGTATTCATTTAACAGTTGAGTAATTACAACAGAGCTCTATTTTTTTTTTTTTAAGTTGGCCCTTTCCAGAAAAAAAAAATTGTTAATGGACTGTGGTGGGCAGTGATGGGGGTATAGTTTGTCTGGAGTCATCAGAAAAACAGGCTTTATAGATTCCCATTGTCACCACCATTATCATCATTGTCATCATTAGTATTTATATTCTAGCTGAGTAATCACCAATGAACTACTTAACCCATTGTTATCACATCATTTTAAGAGAGAGAGATTTTTGCTATAGGATTGTGTACACTCGCCAGAGAGGCAGAGAGAGACACTCCTCCATTCTCCTCTCAGGACTCTGGGCATGAATTCACACAACTCCAGCATGAGTTTTAAGCCACTGGATCTAGGACTCGAACCATGGTTGACTACCTGGGAGTCCAATGATACAACTACCCCGCCACCCGCTGGTCCCCATTATCACATTTTAACCAAATAAAATGTAAAGGCCATTCACTGCTTGATTTTGTGATCATTTAGATGATATAGAGTCATAGTTATCTCTGTCAGCAATTATTATATTTGTTCAGGTATCCACAGCAAATTTTTAATTTTCCCCACTCTGTCTTTGCCACCTACCTGTGTTTTTGCACACCTCATTCTTGTTGTCAGATGGTGTGTGCCAGCAAATTGTATTAGTCTAAGGAAAACATAATTATGAAGGTAAAACTGATACAAAATAAGGTCATTTGCTGAGCCAAATATAAATTATATTTGGATCACCTATTGTTTGGGATTTTCTGCCCCAGTGCCTCCCGAGTTAGAGAGCTCATCAGGAGCCGGCTGAGCCTGGAACTGAAGAAATCTTACGTGTGAGTTTCGTAAGGCTTCCTGGTGAAATGATTAGCCCGATGCTATCTGTCAGAGTCAGTCCTGTGCAGCTGTCACCCACACCCCCGCCAGTATTAGGGTGCGCGTAATACAGATGTGGGCGCCTCTTCAGGCAGATGCCTGGGGCGAGTAATCTACCATATTTTATCTAGGAGGAAAGATATTAAAAGTCAGAGAACAGCTTTAAAAAATGCAGAAGCATACAAATCGCCTGTGAAAATCTGAAGCTATAACTCTCAGTGTTTGGGGATAGAATTATGATTTTATATTGTCCAGAAAATCAGTAAATCCTCACATGGGAATAACTACCTAACTTCTGATGACCAATCAGCAATGGCAAACCAAGCTATTTTTCAATGTGCTGAGTGTCACCATGGTATTGACATCACTGAGGACAGAGCATTGCAGGCATCCAAGAGTTATTTTCATTCAGTGAACAGTCCTTGGTGCACATGTGGATTTCAGTCCCTGTTCTATAAATTGCACATTCCCCCAGGAGTATGGAGTCCAGAGCTTGGGAGTCATTCTTCTGGATCAGAAGTCAACTAACTACAGGGAGTGGGCCAAATCTGGCCTGCCGCCTGTTTTGGTAAATAAAGTTTTATTGGAACACAGCCACACTCATTCGTTTTCATATTGTCTGTGGCTGCTTTCTCACCATAATGGGAGAGTTAAGTAGTTGTGACAGCAACCTCAGGCATGCAAACCAAAAATATTTATTATCTGGTCCTTTATAGAAAAAGTGTATGGTCTTCTGCATTTGATTACTCTTTGTTTTTGTTTATTTCTTTTTTGTTTTTGTTTTTGTTTTGTTTAAAGCCCAGTGTATCACAGTGTATCACAGATACAATATTATCGGGCAAGATGGAGAAATATTATAAAAATATCCATGGGATTCTGGATATTGTATAAAATTCTGGAATAAGAGCACTGGTGAATATTTTGTCACTTACAAAGGCAATTCCTTCACCTCTACAGCCATCTATTTATTCAACCTACTTAAAATAATTTTGCAGGGCAAACTCTTTAAGAATGTATCACCATTTTATTATATACATCATTGGATGTGCCTCCATTCTAATAGACACCGTAAGAGGATCCCGGTGTTACTAATTTGAACACAAAGAAAACATCCTCCTCTAAATAATTTAAATTGTTCCTTTGTCCTCTGGGTATGTCTCTCTCTTTTTCCTCAGTCCTCAGAAAAGATGGCAAGTATCTGGTAACTTGTGTTGCTTGAAAACAATTTCAGATACACTCTCTTATGCAGGGAGAATAAATTGGGCTCCTGAATGAGAAAACAGTGGTAATTTCAGAATAGCAAGTTCAAAGTTTTATTGACAGCCATAAAAAAAAACAAACAAAAGCAAAAAAGAACTAAGACACATTCTTTTGTAAAGCAAATATTCATTTAGAACATGAAAATGCAAACAAACAAAAATACATGAAAATGCAGTATCAAATATGTAGGTTTTGTTGTATTTTTATTTGTATATAGTAGATTTTCTTTTTTATTCTAAATTTTTTTTTTTGGTCACATAGGACCTGTGTTCCAACCCCATGGCCATATCCACTGGCCATACTATCTATCCAAATGCCCATTTAACACTAAAACCCTCTCTGAATTTGGAGTAGAAACAGACAAAGCAGGTGCAGATGTCCTCAGTATAGCACCCAGGTAGGGGAAGGCACTTTCTGAGGGAGGGCACTCACCCAGGGGCTCCGGGGTCCTGAGAGAGATTCTGGTTCCCACTTTCCCACATTCCCATAAGATTGCCATTTTCTTACTTACCTTTCCAAAAGGTGGCTGAGGTGTGGAGCAGAATTAAACATCACCCTGCAGGGACTTCAGCTTGGCAAGGCTCCTGAAGATAGTCTCACACACAGCCTAATCTTTGCTCCACAGTTTCCACCAAATGTGTCAGTTCATGTCTTCATTTCAGCGAGAGACATCTTGATGAGGAAATGATCTTTATGGTTGACCCCATGTGCTTCTGCGAGCAGACTGACCTTCTAAAGTTAGCATTATCGAAGCTGTGTTTACACCTCAGGAAATGGTCTGCCTCTTCCAGATCAGCCTGCAAAAGTGAATGTAATGAGTGGCTAGTATAATGAGATCAGCGTTCGAGGTGGTTGTGGGCGTCTGGGGGCTAGTGATACTTACACACACGATTTGTTAGATAATGTAGTAAGAGATGAGGCCTGACTCAGGCTTCACGCTTTGCGAGCTGCCAGTTTCTGTGCTGTTTCTATTTTCATCAAGGCTTTCCCTTGCTGTGTGAGCCAGCCCTCATTGGCCTCAGGATCACTCATTCACTCCCTCACTCACTCAGCACACGGCTCCTTGCACCTGCAAGGTGTGATTCTGTGTACTGGGAGACTCTTTTAGCACATGTGACCTGTAGTTTAGATCATTGGTGGAGAGGTGGAATGTAACCGTGGTCTTGGTTCATTGGAAAAGTGATGACGTATTTTTCTCTGCAAAAATACATCATGACTTTTCCGATGACCCAATAGAAGACATTATTTACCTGACACCTAAGCAAAAAATAGAGAGAGAGTGCACTTCAGCTATTGTTAAAGAACTGAGAATTTGCAAGATCTTTAGAACCATTGTCGTCATTGCCTAAAGGCTAGAGCAGAAAATAGGGAAATTAATGAAACCAGTGAAAGCTTGATGACCGTCAGAAAGCACAGTAGTGAAAGAGAGAGTGAGAGAGAAAGAGGGATGGAGGGAGAAGCAACTGGTCATGAATAGCATGGAATACACTTAACTTTTGGACCAGAAGACACGTCCATAGTTTGTCAGAGGTTGTGTCCTAGGGATGGCTTTATTCCAAGAGGGAACAGCATGTGTAGAGCACAAGTGACAGGGTGCGGTTTTGAGACTGGAGAATAGGTTGTTGGGAGAGATGAAAAAAAGATGAAGGTAATTATAGCATGTCAGAGAAAAAGGTGTGGAACCTAATGACCAGGGATCAGAGCCTCACTCCACCACTTGGTTGCTGAAGGAGCTCTGTGGACAAGTAACCTCTCCATGCTTCTGTTTCTCCATCTACAGGGATCTAAACTAGGACATCAATTTGCCCGAGGGTTCCATATAGATTTATATTGTTGATGTTTGTGCAGATTTTAGAAGATGTCTTGCGGTGTAGAACAAAGTTTAGTAAACTTTGTAAAAAGCCAGAAAATAAACATTTCAGGTGGGCTGCTACTACTGGACGCTGCCCTTATATTGCAGTAGGAGCCACAGACAATGCATAAGGAAGTGGCGCTGCTGTGTTTCAGCCAGACTGTAGAAAAACAGGTTGTGGACTGGATTTGGTCCATTAGCCATCATTTGCTGACCCCTTTTTTAAGAATATGGTCTTTGTTCTGTTAAGTGTTCAAGTGTGTTATAGGCCTGAGTGTAGAAAATGATTTAGTAGTCCTTACAGTATTAGTCCCTAAACAGCAAAGAGAATGATATGATTAGATTTTATAATTTACAGAGATAGCTTTCTGAACAAAAGGGAGGATTTACCAAAGTGTGTTATTGTACGTGGTATATATGTGTTATCATTGGCCTAAGTGAGATGCATCTATAGACAACTGAAATAGTCCAGAGATGATGAGAACTTGGGGCAAGATCATTACTGGAAATGGAGAAGACACACTTGGGAGACAGTGTATTTAGATATTTTAATATGACAGCCAGGTTTTTGTTTGGGTCATTGAGAAAATAACTACAGAAGAAATAGACTCCAGGAAGATGCTGTATTCATGTGAGGAGAGGGTAAGTTTGCTGGGCCTATCGGATAAGTTTTTATACAATGTCTTAAAGTTTGGAAGAGATAGGTCTGAGGATACAAACATGGAAAGCACTAATAGATGACAAATCCAATCCAAAACAGAAGAAAACATGTGTATGCGAATGTACTTGACTAACTTGTTCATGTATTAGCATAAGGCCAGAGATAGGCATATACTTGGAAGTCTTGGGATTGCAAGCGAGAAAACTGAAAAATCTTGGCTCAAACCCCATCAGGTTTGATGCTGATAGTCAGCATCGAAGACTATCAGAATGCATCTCTATTCTGAAGATCTTCGCTTTTTACTTACTCAGAGCTATTTATTTAGCCCCTTAGAAGGAAGTGACGACAGAAGCTGAGTGTAGCCAAGAAAGTATCATTATATTGTACCTTCGGACAGAAAGAAAGCCCTGCTTGGAGTGAGCAGGTGGAGAGAAGGAACCAGACAACAACCAACAACGTACACATCACTCTCACTGCATCTCTACCTAATGAAGGACTCCTATCAAATCCCTCTATTTAACCTGGAGGACACATGTTTTATGTAATTACCTATGTATGTGAAAGGTCCTAATGACCCACCTGCCTAGAGTTCTCTTGGCTCTTCCTAAGTTCTCATTTAGGTTTTTATCTTTTTAATCCAGCATAAATGGTTCGCGCACATGCGCATGCGTGAGTGTGTACAATGTGTCCCCGGCAACTGATTCCAAAAATGACTTGCTGAAATGCACAATTCTGGCTGAGCTGGCACTGATCTTTTGATGTGGGTGGATTTCTGCTGATTCGTGGAAAGTTTCATGTCCCAACCCCCCGTGAAGTCACAGCTGGCTTTTCCAGGCCAGTTGGCTGGAAGTAAGAGTGCCATCTGGGACCTTGACAAGCAGCAAGAGTGACTGGTCATGCGGGGGTTAACAGGAAGCGTTGCTCTTGCTGGTGGTGGTCTCCACTCAGTCCTCTTCTCTCAGATGTTTCAAATGAACCTTCAACTCACAACTTCATAGTTCATGTGTTCTTATCTCAATGCTTGTACTCTTAACCTTACCTCCAACTGTGAACATAAGCGCTGACCATAATTACCATTATTTACCTGTATCTATGTGCATGAATCACACCAGTATTTACCGATGTACAGATATAGGTAAATGATGTAGTGTGTGTGTGTGTGTGTGTGTGTCCTAAGCAATATCTCCATGAGGTGGCTGTTGTTATCTGTCCTCATTAGAAAGGCTTTTATGGGACCAGCAGTTAGCATAATGGCTATGTCACTGGACTCCCATGTAGTCGATCGCGGTTCAAGTCCTGGACCCAGTGGCTTAAACTCACGCTGGGCGCGTGTGCGTGCGTGCCCAAGATCCCGAGAGGAGAATGGAGGAGAAGGGATTGTGGCATGGCCATCCTCTCTGGGGGAGTGATTTCTCGCTTTCTATGTCTCTGTCTCTCTCTGTCCCAAAAAAAAAAAAAGAAAGGTTTTTATACAACCCATAAAAAAATATGTAGGACATTGGCATATAAGAGCCCAAACTCAACCCAGAAAATAGGTTCCTTTCTTTCTCTCTTTAAAAGAGACCTATCATACATATAAAGGCTTGTTTCACTGTTTCTTGTTTTCAGAATACATCGTTTCAAAATGAGTATTCTTCTGCTGACCAGCTCTCCTGATTCAGGAATTTCCTTCTACCTGAAAATGAGTTTTGTTTTTTTTTCGTTGTTGTTGTTGTTTTTCTAAAACATCCACTCTCTTGCAATTGTTATCACTTTGTTCAAAATAAATACAGAGACTACAGTCAGATGTGAAGACTGACACCTTCCAGCGAAAATCATTATGGAAATGGAGACAGTCTAGGCTTTGCAGTAGCCTCGAAAGGAAGTTTTCCTTCACTAATAGCTCTTTCCAAACTCTCATTCCAAATAGCAGAAATTAGAAACTTTATGAATTGGCTTTGTATTTATGCTTCCTTAACTTCCATGAAGGCATGATTTGTTTAGTTTAATAAGGCCTTGATTGCAGGTATCAGCACACAAGCGTTGACTGAAACTAGGTTCCTTTTGGTAAAATGCAAGCTGTGTGAAATTCATGGAAAATGCAATTACGTTCTAATTTACTCAATGCCACTGGCTTTAATTAAAGTAGATCATATTTCAATGAAGCAAATTCATGATCCTCTTTAACAAAGGAAGTCGAAAACATAAGAAGGAAATTTGGTATTTTTCCTTTGAACATTAACCCAGAGCGTGGTTAATCTGTAGCAGCTATTTGAGAAATTATCTGGCCACAGGTCAGCTCGCTCATGCAGAAAGGCCTGTAGGACCCCTTCAAAGGCAGCTTATCTGCTGCAAAGGAGACCAGCCATACCTGATGCGAGGACCCAGGGAAGGCATCTTTAATCTCTTTTGTTTTATTCATTCGTTTCATGGAGACTATGATGGAGAGAGAGAGACACCCCCCAATGGGGGCTTTGCACTGTGATCCACCTCTAGCCTCCGCCAGTCCAGATCATGGGCTTGCATGAATGTGCCTTGTGTGTACAAGGAGATCTTGGGTCATGAACCTGGGACCTTCACAATGGAGTTCAGCATCATAGTGTTGTGTGACTGCTGTACCACTAGCTAACCCCACTCTGTCATTATTTCCGATTCTTCCCCACCATACACCTCACCTAGCTCTTCTGCCTTGTATTATATACTTACAATCTTCTCAAAGTTTATCAGAGGTAAGGGATGACTTACACGTGGACACAGTATACTAGGTTGTAGGCAGCTGAATACTACACCATCTGAAGTTGAAAGCAGGCAGGTGCAGGGTTGTTTTAGCACTGCTTTGGAAAACCAAAACTTCTTCCAATCTCAACTGATAAGCTTGACCCCTAGGTTTGGCTTCTTATGGTGGTAAGGTGGCTTTTTCAGCCACAGGCATGTTATAGAGGACAATAATATTTGAGAAGTACTTCCTGTCATGCCTCTCTCAGGGTGGAAGTCCTTTATTAGACTCCCCAGGTTCCCCACTTCCCACACATCTCATAAGTCTGTAGGGTCGCTTGTCTATGACATGACAGGAAGGACTGCAGAGAGGTAGGGATGAGGAAGACCAAGAGCTTCCAGGTTCTTCAAACAAAGGCGTTTCCTGTAGGAGGGAGATGAAGTGGCTGGAGAGCGGTTACTGGCTAAGCCAGTCCTTGTGTCTTCCATACCGCTCACAGCCCAGCATTAGTTTTCATATATTTATGTAGGTATGGA